GTGGGAACGAAGTTACAGAAAATTAACTAACGAACGGAGACGTAACACACCATTTTTATTTGTAAGTAATCTTTTATTCTTTATAAATAATAATATTCCACATATTAATTAATTTCTATCGGGAAATATTTTAGTAAAATATGCCTTTTATAAACTGTTTTATTTTTATTATTCTATTATTTTATATTTCTTCAACACTATTCTGTCATGAAACAATTGGTTTTAGTATGCTCCCACCCCCATCTTTTATCAAAAATTTATACTATATCAAAGAGAATTATAGAATTCTTAACATCTCGACGATTGACCAATTTGTCAAATAACAGTTTTTCATGAACATACATCTGGAGTGTTTTACCAAGTGCTTAACACATGGTTTTCAGCTTAATTTTTTATCAATTTGTAAGCGGTTTTTTTAACCTAAAGCTACACAAGTTACCACGTGGAATGAAACTTCGGATTTTAACGTTCTAATTTGTAAGCCTAAATATTTTACAACACCCTCTCTTTAAATTTGCGAACGTCTGCAATTATTATTATTTATATACACATTGTTATGAATATAAATTTCAAATTATTTACATTTATAATGTTTTATATATTTAAATAAAAAAGATCACAACAGTTATTTTGCATTTTTATAATATATATTATTTCATATAAACAAGATTTAAACTATTTTAATGCAATGTTTCTTAACCCTAAAATACCCATTTTATATAATATTTGCTATGATGCTGTATCAAACGTCTTGTCTAAACCTAAAAATACAATAATTTTTAGCAGTATCTCAGGGCTCATAAATATTTCGTGTGAAACTTAATAGTGCCTCTCCAGTATTTAATCCTCTTCTATATCCACACTGTTTATTTAAGAATCTAGTTAACCTACTTTTCACTATTTCTTCTATGGTTTAGAAAATGCTGATGATAACGAAATTGATCTATAATTATTTCTACCACTATTTTTTTTTGTAAGTTGGAATGATTGTAGATTTTTAGGACTTCTCTGGAAAAGTTCCTGTTGTTATAGATACATTATACCAATGTTTGTATGATGTAATTTACAAACTTATCTTACTGAAACTCCATTAGATCAAATATTTCAGACTTTCACTTCAGATGGTTCATTAATAATTTGTTCTAGTATATTTATGAAATATTTATTAGAATTTGCTAACTTTATAATTAATTTATCGTCATTTCGTCTGTTACCATGTTTACTATCACGT